TAACAATATTTGTTCCAAGCTAGAAAGGCGTGGAATACTCTAGTTATTTTATCCACAACTCCAAAACTTTAAAACAGTTCCTCCCTTCCCGAGAGAAATCATTCCTTTACCAGACTAATGTTATTAGATATACATAGTGGTTTTATAAAATAAGAAATAAAATGTAAAATATATTCTCATCTTCTAAAGGACAGTCTAAATTTTAAGGCCCCAGAATTACACACTACTAAATTACAGAGAAATAGATGTGGTCACAACCTGTAATATCTCAAGACTGATATTTGCAAAAAGCTGCACTCTCTGGCCCCAATCCTGCAGAGCTCTAAAGTCCATAAATGGGCTCAATGAATTTCAAAACAGAGTGTTCATCCTTGAGACCTGCATTCCCAAGAATATCCTCAAGTGTGGGAAACAGCCCTTTCCAGACCCACCTCCACAGAGGTGAGTTCAGAGGCAATAGTAACAAGTGAGACAGTGCTTCTATGAACTGGATAACATTTCTTCATATTCACAAGCAGAAACATGAGGGGAAGAAAAGATGATCACTATTGGGCAAGGTTATCTCCCATCCTCTCTTTTTCAGCTTACCCATTATTCCCATGAAAGAGAAGAGCAAAGTGGCAAAATATCTCAGAAACCACAACATAATTCACAGATTATTCTTGGCACTAGTGTGCAAACCAAGAATACTGATGTGAAAGTATTGCTCTGTATCTCTGAGCTATGTCATACTGTCAAGACTAAAAGAGAACTGCCAGATTTGCAGACATAAAAATTTACATATTAAATACAAGTTAATTTACTGGACCTGCTTGGTATGTTTCAGGACTGTGAGAAGGGAACTTGTCCTGAAAGTGGCTCAATACTTTTCAGGCTTGTGAGCCTAGAGGAAGCTATGAAAAAGTAACATGAGGAGCTTTAAATATGGGAAAAAAAAAAATATTTAGCTAGAAAGAAATTGAACTATTTTTAATTACAGTTGTCTTGCCGACAACTCACTGAAAGTAGAGCACCTGGAAGGGTACATATACAGCTGTGCAAGTCTGGCAAAGGACCCTCTGGCTTCCATACATATTTAATTGTTTTTATTTCACTCCTTAACAGGACGACTATTGGAAAACATCTAAGATCTGGAAAAGAAAAGCAAAGCATAACACATTAAAACAAAAATATCAGTTGAGGAATCCAAACAAAGCCAAGAATCCTGGTGCAGAGGAAAACACAGGGACTCTGAAGACAAAGAAAGCCTAAATCCCAACTGATATGAAATCATAGGAGTAAGAAGACGACAGAAAGGAAAGCAAAAGCAGAGGTTTCTAAGTTGTGAAGGATAAGTCTGCTAAAGCCGATGAGCCTGCCAGCACACCGGAGGAAGCCTCAGACTTCCTCTCTGAGGGAGCTAGGAACCTACAGACCACTTCTTGCACACTCTCTCTTACTGTGCATCTGCAGGAGAGAGAGCCACGCATTTCGATCAGGTTCATCAGCTGGCATCTTCTAATTTAGTCAGGGTTTTGTTTGTTTGTTCTTCTCTAAACCAAGTGCTGAACAATACTAGAAAACTCATGTTACAGAAACTGCTAGTTTATGAATGTGATTTTTACTGCCATACATGGATGCAGAAGATCACTATACAGATCACTTCGTCATGAAGTGCTACCGTTATAAGACAAGTACCTACACTTCTGTTATCACTTTTATGCCTGTTTAAAAACATCAAAACAAGACTACTGATGAGAACTAACTACATTAAAAAAACCTTAATCTATCATAATCATTCACATACTCTGACAATTCAAATATTACAACAGTGGTTCCTTACACAGCCTGTATTTAGCACTATTTGAACTCCTTGCCAGTGGATATGAGGAGTAATAAAAGCTTACATGGATTCAAAGAATGACTGAACAAATTCATGGAAGAGAAAACTGTTGAGCACTATCAAACACAAACAGGTACCACTCAAAGCTCAGGTTGCCCCTGAGTCACAAATTTTCAAGGCTAGGACAGTTCAGGGAATTTTCATATATACTTACTTACATTCTTCCCTGACTTCTATTTTTGGCTATGTAATACAGGGAGTTGGATGGATTTTTGGCCTAACCTAGCACATTTGATCTTCCATCCTTCTGCCACTAACAGTGTTCTTAACCGTGAACCTTCCTTTGACAGTCATTTCTAGGGTAGAGGTAATTAAAAAAACAAACAAAAAAACCAACAAAAAACCATATCACTTATGATACTGACATACTGACAGGATTTGGGCTGAGATTTCTGATCCTGAAAACTCTGATTTCCTTGCAGACTTCAAGAGGTCAGTTCCCATAATCTCCAGGTGCATGACAGACATCCCGCTTGGGGAACTGAGCCTCCTGCAATAATTCTCTGAGTAATGTCTGTACTAGTATGGATCCGATGTAAGAGCCTGTGTTTCCTGAACTAGGAAAAAGCCTTGATTCTTCATCCCTATGGATTTGTGGACTATGCTGGAAGAAGGTAACAAGCCAATGATGACAGGTACTGCCCATGAGGCAGCAGAGGAGTTCAAAGTATGGGTGTTGAACACCAGAGGTATAACACTTCCACACTGTCCTGTAGGTACCACAGGATGCTCAACAGCCTGCTCCAAAAGGCAATGGCTACCACATCACCAGTGTCTTCTAAACCTCATTTTTTTTCTGGTTGACAGATAAGGTAACACAAAATCCCCCTACAGACTACCACTTCAAAGTGTGGTTTGTTTTTATACAGAGTGGAGCCTGGCCTCTTTTCTTCTAAAAGCATTTTAGCCAGAAGGGAAATTATGCTTTAAGTTTATCATTAAAAAAAAAATGAAACCTGACATGTCTAAAATTCAAGTTTAGGCTTCCCAGCACTTATTACATGTACCTGTGTCTGCTTTTAGGAGCCCAGAGGCCTGAACACATACAATTCAAATGAATAAACAACAAAAATCTGATTTTTTTTTGTTTTTAATTAAGAAAGTTTTTCAAGTTTAGTTTTTGTTTGCTGTTTTTTTCTTAATCAGGTTTTCAACCTCAAAGCCACCAGGTTATATTTATTGTCTGATCTAGCTAAAGCTTTTCTGTGTTCTGACCAGCTGACCGAGGCCAATCTTATAAGGCAGCTTTGATATAAGTATATTTCCTGTGTCTAGACAATTCATAAGTATTTCTTTATTAGCCACATCCTTCCTTACAGTCATGTCTTCACAAGGGAAAAATCAAAAGAATATTTTTAACGTACTAGAAATTCAAGATAAATCCTAGGATAGATCTCATTACTGACCCATATTAGAGAACATGTAACAAGCTTAGGCTAATAACTTTAAATGCATGAAATATCACATACACTCAAAAATCTTGGCATTTCACCCGAGATGAAGGAACTGAACCATTTATAACATCTACATCATTTCTTTCTCAGAGCAGACCACTTTTGAGAGATCAGACAGGTTTACTGACATTTTTGACCATTTTCACAGGATTAATAAAAGCTTTTCTGTAAATGAACACTAAGAACTTTGATATCATTACTTAAGAGATGGTTTTCCCTTGGGAGATTACTATCACACAATAATTATCTTCCTATAAGATTTTCATAGGGACAAGGTAATTGTATTTTAGCAGAAGGAGCGGGTCTGAACAATGATATTGCCTCCCCCTACACATTCACCTTTATTTTGGTGATGTCTATCTTTCTCAGGAATTCTTTCACCAGGAGAGGGAAATATTTTTTTCTTTGTCAGGGAAGATGCACACTCCCACAAGTTTTGGCTCTGCACTGTCTTCAATAGTATTCAACACACTGCAAGATCACGTATCACTAGAGGAACTCTCCTTTGTATGCAAACTTATCCCATCAGTTCAAAAGCCAACATTTTCCTCCTCTAAAATAATTCTTAATAATTAATATTGTCCAACAATTTTTGCTTCAGATTATCTATGAAGGTATTCATAGTCCTGCACAAACTTTGTAACTTGAAAGCCAGATGGATGACCCAGGTAATACACTTACTTTCTTTTTGTTTCCATCCTCATCTATACATTCTCTGACAGGGTCTGAAAGAAAAATAGACACTTTTTAGCCATCTCCCTTATCCAGCCTTTTATGTGGAGGTCACCAAAATACAGATTGCTAACTTTAAAATGTGACTTAGGCTGTAAGAAGGTTTTTTTGTGTTAGCATGTGAGAATCCCTCCGTGACAACTGCAAGCATTTGTCCAAAGTGTACAAGAGTAAGTCAAAGAATCCATAAGCTTTGTTACTGCTAGTATTACCTGACTTCTGCAATGACATTGGTTCCAAAATATCCTGTGAGCAGTAGGTAGGCTGTAATTCTACAGCACCCCTTGTACTGGCATACAGCTCTACCCAGATGGCACTGAAAAGAAGGTGATGGCTTTAGCTCTGAGGTAGGGTCTAGCCTTACTTCTAAATCTTGTGAGGAACTGAGAATATTTCTGGTAATTAGGAGGTAATAAGAAGTTACACACCTATCCCCACAAATCTATTAAATGCAGAAAGATAAATACAGCAAGTAACCCCAAGAAAAGATTTGTGAGCAACCAGCATAAATATGAAAAAAGCTGCAATAAGAATATTCAAATTCAGTCTCATTACATTCAGGCATTTCTGCCATGGGCAGTTTTTTATATAACCAGTTAGACGGTCACAAGGCACTCACTAAATCACAGCTTCTATGTTTAGGTGCTCTCATAACACACCTAAGATATAAGGAAAGTAACTGCATATAAGTATTATGATATGACAAAGTGATAAGCATGTGTCTAGTAAACTAAAGCACTGACTAGCACACTCTTATATAATACTATACTATGCTAGCATATATATATTCTGTATGCTCTGTCTTTTCCAGGATAAGTAATGTAGTTTGAAAGTATTTAGGAAATCTTTTAAACTTTTTAAATAGTATTCTTTTTTATACACTTCCATACAGAAAGTAAGACTCCTTCTGTACAAGAAATCCAACTATATGAGTCTGGAGGGGAAAATTATACTTTACAGATTGTAAAAAAATCTAAATAAAATAAACAAAAAAAACCCCAAAACACACACACAAAAATTAGAAATATTTTCCCACCCCATAACAAAGGCTTTACCACCAGCAAAAGGGAGACCTAAATTTTTCAGATTTAGGTGTCTACTGTAAGATATCTACCATTTGTTTTTGAGCATACAGTTCATGCTGTTGGAAAAGCTGGATGTACGATTCATAAAAATACAAAGCTTTCACCTCTAGTACTGACAGGTCATAGCCCAGATTGCAATATGAAAATAGTTACAGGTTTCAAATTCCCGCTCCCCATCCTATACCTTGGATCAATGTAATTTAGGGCAAGAAAACCACATATTTTACAGTGTGAGGAGAGGAAATGCATCTTTAAAAGCTTATTTTAAAAGAAAAGAAAGAAAATGGCAGCTGTTTGATGCTCTGGAGAGATTTTAAAATGCCAGAAGTGATCCCAGTGGAGACTGATCGGATATCTCTAAGCTGGACTATGCACACTTTGCAACTTCCTTATTCTTAGCGGTACTTGGCTCTGCAAAAAAGTCCACTTGTTTTAATGGGGATGTGACTAAGCCCTAGTAAAGCTGGTAAAAACCTGTGCGGTGACTAACACGATAAGACAGTGGTTTGTGGAGGGAACACGTAGATGCTATTGTAATAAAAATAACAACAACAATATGAGTAATAAATACATATATATACAGAGACCAAGGAGGCAAAAGAATTAATATACTGGCCAGAGCTGAAGCAAGTTTCCTTAGATGAGGACCATTGCTATCTACAAATAAATGAATGTTTAAAAT